TATCAAATAGCTAAGCTAAATGATATCAAATAGCTAAGCTAAATGATTGATTCATTTAGCTCAGCTATTTGATATCATTTAGCTTAGCTATTTGATATCAGATAGCTCCCGAACATTTTTCCGCGGAACTTTTCTACATCACGTTCTTCCTTTAACCCATTCATTTCTTCTTTTTGTTTCTTTTTTTATTGAAAAACTTTAAAAAGTTTGAAATATGTACAAATGTCATTTTTCAATATCTTTTTTCCGTTTTGGTTATAACGAAATTAAAAATTTACTACACCTTTTCGGATGTTTGAAATTAATCCACTTAATCCATGTGGAACCGATGCAAACACTTCATATTCTCGATATGCCTGAAGGTCATTGATTGTGTACTCTTTCGCATCAATTATAGCGGTGGCTGTTTGAAATTCATTTGAGCCAACAATTCGATAATGTAATTTGAGTGCTGTAGCTGATGGTATACCTTTGAAAAAAAATATTAAAAGAAAAATATAGGATGATTTTTATAAAATATAGGATGACCTTAAATGTGCCTGGCTGTGTGGATAGAGAAGATGAACAGTTTTAAAGAAGATGCGTACGCACCCACACAACCGAAAGTTTGTGTTCTGTACTATTGGACTTTTTTCACACAGCACCTCACTTAACCTTCTGTCTGTCCATATAACATATTTCCGACTTTGGGGCGTATAGCGCCCGTAGTGCATTTTTGTATGGGAATTTGTTGTTTTATTTTGAGGTTGAATTTTGTCTCGGGCGCTGTACGCCCCAAAGACGGACAAAAGGTTAAACAATTTATGTAGCCTACTAAATATATACCGTTATTATCCCAGCTGATATCAAGCGAGTTCGGTGATGTAGCTAATACGGTATTTATTAGAATATTTTGGTCATTTGAAAATCGATCACTCGAACTAATTCCATCCAGACTAATTGGCACATTATTATTACCATCTCGTCCATTAATAACCCGAATGAATATCCTTTTCACCACACTACCCGCTTCATTCTAAAAAATGAAATATGTTTTTTTAATACCTGTATCCGCAACTTATGATTGCTATTTATGTTTTTATTTTTTAAAATATTATACAGATATAACTTACTATAGCTGCACACCCATACCATCCCTGCAAAATCCAAATAATAAAAACAAGTGTTTAAAAAATTCTATTCAATATTTATGAGAATTATGAAAAGAATGTTCACATGTAGGGAGACTCATTTTTATTTTCTGTGCATACCTGATCGCGTTCGGTTACATTTAGTAAAATTAGTTCACCATTGGTCACCTTTAGTTGGGACACTTCTTGTGGTGCTTGTGTAGAAAATGCCAAAACTGGGATGGCACCAGTTGGTGATCGATCTTCGTCATAGACATTGCCATTCCTTTCATTATTATCTGCAGATTCACGTTTTTTTCGCCTTGATTTGTCTTTTGTGATCTCTTGATTGTTATCATGCCATTCATGATTGAAAGTTCGATGTAGTTTATTTTGATTACCAGTAGCAATTGACTTATGGCGTTTCATTCTGTACGATCGTTTTGATCGTAAACTCATGATTTTTGTTTTGGCTAAAGCTTCTTCTTGGGTATCTCTTTCCAAATATTGGTTAATTTTACTGGAAATTTGATGTTGTTGATTGTGTAATTGTTGTGTGGCCGTATTTCCAATTCGATCCCAAATGATACGTGGTTGTGGACGTCCATGTGCTCGACATGGTAATTTCACCTTCAAAAAATTGATAAAATAATTAAAACGTGTTATAAAAAGACACAAATCAGATTAATATAATCACAAAAATTGAACAGAGCAAA